CCATTGGAAGAAGTTAATGGGCTTGAGCAAGAGGATAGACAGCAGTTGCTTCGATGATAATATGTTCGAACGAATTGTTTTCAGTTGCCATCAGAAGTTGTTGGTTTTTAGGAGGATATTCCTCTAGTTAGTTTATTGTTTAAGATTGCATCAGCGTGGATATCACTGGACATCACATCAGTATGGAAGGGATGATATAGTTGGCATTAATTGGAATGCTAGGGATAGTTGTTTGGACTGCTGCTTTCAACTCGAACTGGTGATTTCGCTGAACTGTTGATCGTGCTGGAGTGGTTCATTGTAATTGTAGTTGATTGATAGTTTTTGACGGTGATTTTGTCATCAGTAGTAGACAGCCTGTTGGAGGTGTGGTAGATACGTTGCTGCAGCTGTTGACTTCAGTATGGCGATTGCTACATTGATATTGTTTGTATACGGTAGGAGTTGGCAAAGTATAACAAGAACAATACAACTCAATAAGGTGATGAGAACATAACAATAAAATGATAATGTTATAGCTTCCTAAGAATACAATTTCACTCAGTGATAACGAAGTTATAAATTGGGAACATTTGTACAATTTGCACTGATACTTTAAAATCTTGAACCAGTGAACTGAATTACGAAAAGGATTTGAGACAGTACGGTGCACTTCAACAAGACTGTACAAACAACAAAAAACAATAATATACAGTTTTGTTAATGCTGAATTAACATTAACAAACCGAATTCATCAACAATTAAAGCNATGGTAAGATATGAAGATGGGGACCATTATTAACAATTAACAATGATGCCTAAAGGCACTATCAAAATATCATCAGAGTATTTTCCAGGAGGAGGTCGTTGTGCAGTTCAATCAAAACATTTGTGCTCTAATTGTTGATGAATACATAAAACAATTTATGAGTTAAATGTTAACATCCATACTTTAAAATTATCTACACAACACAAGTTCTAATACATCATTATCAAATCATTCAAACAATCTGTTAATGTATGGCAGTTTAAAACTAATTCAATACCGTCGAGTCCTTCTTTACTCGACTTTATTCTAATTTAATCCCCAATCACTCCGATTATCTCCAGTACTCTAGTATACAGAATTGCTACATCGTGAATTTTTATTATTATGGTATTTCTAATAGAATATTTCTCAACAAAATCAATTTTTAGCGTTCTTCAATCAGAGTTATTAATGTCATCCATCTGGTTTTTTCATGTGCTTCATTTCAATATTCTTACTGAAAGGACGGTTCAAGTTTTGAGTATTGATGTAATCATCATTAGCCGTATTCATCGCTTAAACCCAACTAAAATCATCCAACTCCGTTTTTTTTGTATCAGA